GTGCACATTGACATCTGGTGAATGTTGCATCTATGCTGCTGGTTGTTGCCACTTTCATCATTGCTAGATCCTAGGCTGTTAGTGCATTTCACTTTCTGATATGCTACAAGTGGTATCGGAGCTTGTGCGATGAATCTTGGCAACAACCAATCAATCGATTGATTGATTGGATTGACGGTCTGCCACCAATCAAACTTCGATTGATTGATTGATTGATTGATTGATTGATTGATTGATTGATTGATTGATTGATTGATTGATTGAGTGATTGATTGATTAATTAGGTTGATTGATGATTTGGCAATTGTTTATTTAATCTTGGAAATTCCCGGAATTAATTATTATTTCTTTTTCTGAGAATTTTTTTTTTCCGATAAATTATTTCTCTTTCCGCGAAATTTTTTTTTCCGAGAATTTTTTTTTCCGAGCAATTATTTCTTTTCCGAGAAATTTCTTTTCAAGAAATTATTTTTCTGAGGAAATTCGTTGTGAGAATTCTTTTTCCGAGAAATTCTTTTCATTACCTTATTTAATTGTTAAATGCCTACAGTTGACAAATTGGATTCTTTTTTCCGATAATGTCCCTCTACACTTTCACAGCGTAGGTTTGCAAATTCCGTTCTTTTTTTTCAAAAACGACATTTTTTTTTCTTTTGCAACCTACTCCTACTCTGAGCTGTAAAGATACTTCTCTTCTGTTTCTGCCAGTTTGAGCACCAAAGGGTTACTATTGCGTTCTGCATCACCTTTGGCACTCAGTGGTATTGGACAGTCTTTTCTTTTCGAATTTTGATTTATTTAAATTCTTTCTTAATTATTATTCTTTGCTTGATTAGGGAACTGTTCAATTTGGGATCTGTCCGACCCTTCCCACCTGTCTGCCCCTACCTGTTCCTCCCCCTCTAGTCCGGGCACTGGGCCAGTCCGTCAGATTGGCCCTCGAGTGACTCTTCAGACTTCGGGCACAGCAGTGCATGACACTGCTCACTCGATCACAGACCAAGGCCATGGACCGGAAGGCGGGGGAATCCCTCCTGAGTTATGAGGAACGCCTGGCGGCATTCATTCAAGAGGCCAACGATAGGGCCGCCGCCGCGGCCAAGGAACGTCAGCAGCTTGAACAAGAGGAGGAGGCCAAGCGACAGAAGGAGGAACAGGACCGACTTCGTCAAGAGGAGGCAGACCTGCAGGCGGCAGCTGAACACCGGTCACGCCAGCRGGAACGACTGTTCACACGGGAGACCGTGATCTGCGATGAGGCTGCACGTTGGATGGAAGTGGCATCTACAGACGAGGCCCCGGAGACTGAGAAAGGGCTGTCAGCCCTTGCACAGGTCTTCCACGACCTCGTGGCCACCTGCGCTCTGCAGCAAGAGGAAATCCTCCACCTACAGCAGACAGTGGACCAGATGCTCGCACGGCTGCAGGCGTTGGAAAAACAGCCAGCAGCCGTAGCAGCCGCAGGGCCTGCAAACCTTGCGACCCGTGTTCAAGTCTTGGAGGACGACGTCGGCAATATCAAGCGTGTGCATCAGGACTTCAGGACGTCGCAGCAAGCAACGAACTTGCAGTTGGAGACGCAGGTCCAGGCGGCTGCCACCGTGACGCCCGCCGCCGCATCCTTCAGGCGCCCACCCAAGCTAGATGACATTCCAGTCTTCTGCGATCAGTCCAAGACGGAACCGATCCCGTGGTGGCGCCAGTTTACTCTCCGGCTCGACRTGCACCATGTCYCGAACAACGATCGACATCCGTGCTTGTACCACCGATCTGGTGGTGCGTGTCAAGCATGGCTGGACAACATCTTGACCAGCCACGGCGTAGCAGTGTCGAAACTACACACCAAGCTCACTTGGCAAGAGTTGACTCACGCCTGGCACAAGCGATTTCAAGTGGAGCCGCCCGACCTGCAAGCGATGGACAAGCTCAACAAGCTCCATCAAAACACGCTGCTCAGTCAGGACAGGATCACCGAGTTTCAAAGACTCGCCTCCACACCTACCCTGCCGCTCGCATTCCGCGCCATCAAGCACTTGTTTATCATGCGCTCATGTCCGGCGCTGCAAAACGCGCTTACGCAGATTGCAGAGACACTCGACACATCCGACAAGCTTTTTAGCACAGCGTCACGGATCATTCTGACAAATATCGAAGCCCGCAACGCAGGCCGATCTTCCGCGACGACGAGCGGCACCCAGCTCAAGCCAAAGGTGGCTTGCATTATTTCTTCTGAGGCTGCAACACCAAACGAGGGTGAAGTGTTGGCAGCTGCCCGGGATGGTGGCCGGCCGCGCAACAACCACGGCCGCGACAAGACGAAGACTCAATCCACCTCGATACCGAGCACCGGATCAGCCACCGACGAACCTTGGGTACAATACAGACTCTCGGCGAACTCTTATCGCACGCGCCTCAAGTACCGGTATTGCCTTTGGTGCAACAGCACCATCCACGATGCTGCACATTGCCACACCAAGGGGAAACCCCGTCAGGGAAAGTAGGCGCCGCCGAGGGAAACTCGACACCTCCCTCGACGCCATCGGAAGCGGTTGTGGCCACGACCGCCCTTTCTTCCGAGGCATATGCGGATGTCGGGAGTGTTCAACTTTCGTTCGAAGACTTCGCTGCCCGGCTCATTCCTTCACTGGATGCTACTCAAGGACAAGATACATGTGCGGCTTTCTCACCGTCCGAAGG